CACCCACACCTCACCGTTAAATATGCAGAGACCACCCATCACACCTACTTTATGGGTTGGTCCCACCCGGACCTCACCTCTAATTATGCGGGGACCTCCCATCACACCTACTTTATGGGTTGGTCCCGCCCACACCTCACCACTAAATATGCAGGGACCTCCCATCACACCTACTTTATGGGTTGGTCCCGCCCACACCTCACCACTAAATATGCAGGGACCTCCCATCACACCTACTTTATGGGTTGGTCCCACCAGACCTCACCTCTAAATATGCAGGGACCTCCCATCACACCTACTTTATGGGTTGGTCCACCTCACCTATCACACCACCTACTTTATGGGTTGGTCCCGCCCACACCTCACCACTAAATATGCAGGGACCTCCCATCACACCTACTTTATGGGTTGGTCCCACCAGACCTCACCTCTAATTATGCAGGGACCTCCCATCACACCTACTTTATGGGTTGGTCCCACCCAGACCTCACCTCTAATTATGCGGGGACCTCCCATCACACCTACTTTATGGGTTGGTCCCACCCACACCTCACCACTAAATATGCAGGGACCTCCCATCACACCTACTTTATGGGTTGGTCCCACCCAGACCTCACCTCTAAATACATGGTGGATGTCTCCACACATTAATCAGAATTCAGGACTTGGACTTGGGGGTTCTGCATCCGGGGGTCCATAGATGGGTTTCAGGGGGGCCGTGAGGGTCAGATAAAAAAAATAACATTTAGATTCACTATACAGCCCCCCCCTTTTCTCCACCAATGGTTTCCCATCACCTCTATTTTATGGCTTGGCCCCGCCCACACCTCACCACACCTCTAAATTTGCAGAGACCACCCATCACACCTACTTTATGGGTTGGTCCCACTCAGACTCCACCTCTAAATATGTGTGGACCACCCTTAGGGTCTATAGTGTGATCCTTGGACACGGCCCAGGGGCACAGCATTGGTGGGGCAGAGGGCCAAGATGCGGGCGTGTCCCTGCAAATCCGGGACAGTTGACTTCCATACAGTTCTACCTGAACCCAGCACAGGTCTGATTACTGGGGGGCAACCAAAGTGAAGTCGCTGGCATGATACTTCTGACCAGGGGCGGACTGACAACTCATGGGGCCCCCGGGCAATAGGGGATCATGGGGCCCCTGTGTCCTTGCCCAAACTCAAAAAAGCCTATGAAAAAGGTACCAGGGGCATCTCATGGGGCCCCCTACTGACCCCAGGGATCGGTGATGGATCGGTTTGGGATTGGTGATGGATCAGTGATGGACCGGTGAGGAATCGGTGATGGATCGGCGAGGGATCGGTTTGGGATCGGCGATGGATCGGCGAGGGATCGGTTTGGGATCGGTGATGGATCGGTGAGGGATCGGTTTGGGATCGGTGATGGATCGGTGAGGGATCGGTGATGGATCGGTGAGGATCGGCGATGGATCGGCGATGGATCGGTGAGGGATCGGCGATGGATCGGCGAGGGATCGGTTTGGGATTGGCGATGGATCGGCGAGGGATCGGTTTGGGGATCGGCGATGGATCGGCGAGATCGGTTTGGGATCGGCGATGGATCGGCAAGGGATCGGTTTGGGATCGGTGATGGATCGGTGAGGGATCGGTGAGGGATCGGTGATGGATCCGTGAGGGATCGGTGAGGGATCGGTGATGGATCCGTGAGGGATCGGTAATGGATCGGTGAGGGATCGGCGATGGATCGGCGAGGGATCGGTTTGGATCGGCGATGGATCGGCGAGATCGGTTTGGGATCGGCGATGGATCGGTGAGGGATCGGTGAGGGATCGGCGGGGATCGGTTTGGGATCGGTGATGGATCGGTGAGGGATCGGTGATGGATCGGTGATGGGATCGGTGAGGATCGGTGAGGGATCGGTGAGGGATCGGTGATGGATCCGTGAGGGATCGGTGAGGGATTGGTGATGGATCGTGAGGGATCGGTGATGGATCGGTGAGGGATCGGTGATGGATCGGTGATGGATCGGTGAGGGATCGGTGAGGGATCGGTGATGGATCGGTTTGGGATCGGTGATGGATCGGTGAGGGATCGGTGAGGGATCGGTGATGGATCGGTGAGGGATCGGTGAGGGATCGGTGAGGGATCGGTGATGGATCCGTGAGGGATCGGTGAGGGATTGGTGATGGATTCGTGAGGGATCGGTGATGGATCGGTGAGGGATAGGGGAGGGATCGGTGAGGGATCGGGGAGGGATCGGTGATGGATCTGTGAGGGATCGATGATGGATCGGTGAGGGATAGGTGATGGATCGGTGAGGGATCGGTGATGGATCGGTGAGGGATCGGTTTGGGATCGGTTTGGGATCGGTGATGGATGGTGAGGGATTAGTGATGGATCGGTTTGGGATCGGTGAGGGATGGGGGGGTGGGGGGTGAGATATCACAATGAACAGATCGATGCAACACACGCAGTATCGATCGCTCGGTCAAACGATCTGTCAGTCAGAAATCTAGATGACGATCGGTTCTCCGGCGCTCAGACATTTATCCGATCGATCAGATGCGATCTGCTGATCAACTCGACAGATTCCAAACTGAGTCGCTCAATGTAATGAAAAGGAGAACCCGTACTGAGACGAACGTTGGGTGCCACCGCTCCCCAAAAATGCCAGTCGCCTGGCTGTGTCCGGCTGCCATACTGACCTACAACAAGCATGTGGCAAGTGAAAAAAAAGATCTGCACACCTGAGTCAGTGATTTGGAGAGCGGAGACGTTCACCTCCCGCCAGCACCGGAGGAGTTAATGCCGTTATCTGCACGGAGTCGGATCGATCGATCTGCTGTGCGTAGCGTCCAAAGTGCCCTCCTATTAGCGGGATCGTTCTCCATCAATTATTAACACGCCGGCGGTGGGAGGTCAGCGCGTTAAAGGAGGACTCCGAGCAGAACGGGATCTGGGGATCGAGCAGAACGGGATCTGGGGATCGAGCAGAACAGGATCTGGGGATCGAGTAGAACGGGATCTGGGGATCGAGCAGAACGGGATCTGGGGATCGAGCAGAACAGGATCTGGGGATCGAGCAGACCGGGATCTGGGGATCGAGCAGAACGGGATCTGGGGATCGAGCAGAACGGGATCTGGGGATCGAGCAGAACGGGATCTGGGGATCGAGCAGGATGGGATCTGGGGATCGAGCAGGACAGGATCTGGGGATCGAGCAGAACGGGATCTGGGGATCGAGCAGAACGGGATCTGGGGATCGAGCAGAACAAGATCTGGGGATCGAGTAGAATGGGATCTGGGGATCGAGCAGGATGGGATCTGGGGATCGAGCAGGACAGGATCTGGGGATCGAGCAGAACGGGATCTGGGGATCGAGCAGAACGGGATCTGGGGATCGAGCAGAACAAGATCTGGGGATCGAGTAGAATGGGATCTGGGGATCGAGCAGAACGGGATCTGGGCATTGAGCAGAACGGGATCTGGGGATCGAGTAGAACGGGATCTGGGGATCGAGCAGAACGGGATCTGGGGATCGAGCAGAACGGGATCTGGGGATCGAGCAGAACGGGATCTGGGGATCGAGCAGACCGGGATCTGGGGATTGAGCAGAACGGGATCTGGGAATCGAGCAGAACGGGATCTGGGGATCGAGCAGGATGGGATCTGGGGATCGAGCAGAACGGGATCTGGGGATCGAGCAGAACAAGATCTGGGGATCGAGCAGAACGGGATCTGGGGATCGAGCAGAACGGGATCTGGGGATCGAGCAGGACGGGATCTGGGGATCGAGCAGAACGGGATCTGGGGATCGAGCAGAACGGGATCTGGGGATCGAGCAGAACAAGATCTGGGGATCGAGCAGGACAGGATCTGGGGATCGAGCAGGACAGGATCTGGGGATCGAGCAGAACAAGATCTGGGGATCGAGTAGAACGGGATCTGGGGATCGAGCAGAACGGGATCTGGGGATCGAGTAGAACGGGATCTGGGGATCGAGCAGAACGGGATCTGGGGATCGAGCAGAACAAGATCTGGGGATCGAGTAGAACGGGATCTGGGGATCGAGCAGAACGGGATCTGGGGATCGAGCAGAATGGGATCTGGGGATCGAGCAGAACGGGATCTGGGGATCGAGCAGAACGGGATCTGGGGATCGAGCAGAACAAGATCTGGGGATCGAGTAGAACGGGATCTGGGGATCGAGCAGAACGAACGGGATCTGGGGATCGAGCAGAACGGGATCTGGGGATCGAACAGAGCGGGATCTGGGGATGGAGCAGAACGGGATCTGGGGATCGAGCAGAACAAGATCTGGGGATCGAGCAGGACAGGATCTGGGGATCGAGCAGAACGGGATCTGGGAATCGAGCAGAACAAGATCTGGGGATCGAGCAGAACAAGATCTGGGGATCGAGCAGAACGGGATCTGGGGATCGAGCAGAACGGGATCTGGGGATCGAGCAGGACGGGATCTGGGGATCGAGCAGGACGGGATCTGGGGATCGAGCAGAACGGGATCTGGGGATCGAGCAGAACGGAATCTGGGGATCGAGCAGAACGGGATCTGGGGATCGAGCAGAACGGGATCTGGGGATCGAGCAGAACGGGATCTGGGGATCGAGCAGAACAGGATCTGGGAGGATCCCCCGACAATATTCGACCTGTGCTTGGCAGGAAAGCTGACAATCTATTTTGTATATCAGTTGCTTTGTAACTGCAGAGACCTGAATACCATAAAAAGACTTCTGTTCAGAGGAGTGCAGACTGTGCTGCGGAGGGGGGACTGACAACTCATGGGGCCCCCGGGCAATAGGGGATCATGGGGCCCCTGTGTCCTCACCCACACTCAAACCACACCCAAAAAAGCCTATGAAAGGTACCAGGGGCATCTCATGGGGCCCCCTACTGACCCAGGGCCCTCAGGCAGTGCCCGAGTTCCCGAATGCTCAGTCCACCCCTGGGGGGGGGACTGAATGACAATTGTGGGAACCAGGGGCGGACTGACAATTCATGGGGCCCCCGGGCAATAGGGGATCATGGGGCCCCTGTGTCCTCGTCCACACCCAAAAAAGCCTATGAAAGGTACCAGGGGCATCTCATGGGGCCCCCTACTGACCCCGGGCCCTCGGGTAGTGCCCAAGTGCTTGAATGGTCTGCCCGCTCCTGGTGGGAATCAACCAATCGAGGAAGGAGAATCATTTCAGGAACGATCCCATGTGATACGACAATAGAAATCATTCCATCTGGTATTGTCATCTGAGAGGCCAGAGTTGGTCACATGAAAAAAAATGATAATTGTTGGCTCCTCCCTCCTCTGGGTGTCTCCTTACCAGCCAGGTGCTATGGTGGCACTTGTGTGGGCGTGTGCCCAAGCAGGGCTGTATATGGCCATAGACACACACAGCGCTTGTAAGCCACACCCACTGCCCCTCCTCACAGGATTTTACTGACAGCAGCAGGAGCAAATGGCTGTTCTCAGTGTCTCCTGTGGGGAGAGAAATGCTGGAGCGGTGGGAGGAGTTAGGGAAGTTTTTAGGGATGGGGTTAGGACAAGTAGTGGGGGGGGGGGAGGGGGCACCTTAATGCTGAGAATTCCCAAAAGAAAAAAAGCTTTTTGAGCTTAGGACTCATTTGCATAATAAAAATGTATCCTCCAGATTCAGGCTGGGAGAGGGAGGGGCTACACTAAGAGCCAACCAATCCTCACAGAGCATTGTAATTCTAACAAATGTGGCTTTATGATTGGAGGAAAGAACAGAGAAATGACCTCATCAGTCACATTCTACCCCTTCACTGTCCAATCACAGCCCGGACTGAGCTATATTGCTGAGGAAAGGGGAGGGGCTGGATACAGGGGCGGACTGACAACTCATGGGGCCCCCGGGCAATAGGGGATCATGGGGCCCCTGTGTCCTTGCCCAAACTCAAAAAAGCCTATGAAAAAGGTACCAGGGGCATCTAATGGGGCCCCCCTACTGACCCCAGGCCCTCGGGCACTGCCCGAGTTTCCA